AAGTATGTAGTTAACTTTGATAAAATGACGTTTGGGAACAACAAAGGCCAAATTCCGGTAAGTGTTGAAAGAGAGGTTGGACTAACCAGGTGTCATCAAGCTGAAGTCAAAGTGACTGAAGGAGTTGATGATGGTGAAGTGGAACCTAGTATAGATATTAAAGCAGAACAGGAGAAAGACCAAGATTTGACACCAATAATTGATTTTCTACAAGCAAGTGTTTTGCACCCTGCTTGGGAGAAGGTGTCTAGCTTAAGCCCTGTGACAAAGAATTATTGGGTGCAATGGGACCAGTTGAAGCTTGAAGATGGTATTCTTCTCCAGAGATGGGAAACTGCAGATGGGAAAGTGACAACCTGGCAAACAGTTATACCAAAAAAGTTATGGGAAGTTGTGCTGCGTCAATCCCATGATAGTTTAACAGGAGGACATCTGGGAGTTAAGAAGACATTGAGTCACCTATGGCAGAGATTTTACTGGATAAGTATGAGGCAAGATGCGGAAGAATTGTGCAGGACCTGCAGTACATATTGTGCCAAAAGGGGACCCAAGCATAAGGGACGTGCTTCAATGAATTTATATCAAGTTGGAAAAAGTAGCCATTGACATTGCTGGTCAGTTGACCCAAACTCGAGCTGGAAACAGGTACATTTGTGTGGTGATGGATTATTTCACCAAGTGGCCTGAGGCATATGCAATACCAAATCAGGAAGCTACAACTGTAGCTTCGGGCTATTAGTGATTTCTTCTTCATGTTTGGTATGCCATACGAACTGCATTCAGATCAAGGCAGTAACTTTGAATCAGCTGTGTTCCATAAATGCTGCAAGTTGTTTGACATACGAAAGACCAGGACAATGCCACTTCACCCACAGTCCGATGGGATGGTAGAAAAGTACAATTGGACACCGGGACAGGAATTGGCAAAGTTTTGTAATAGCCGCCAAGATGACTGGGATGTCTTACTCCCTCCACTGTTGATGGCCTATAGATCAGCAGAGCATAAAGCCACTGGAT